GGCAATTTTTTACCTTTGATGACTTGAAGGCTTTCCTTGAGGAATCGTGATCAACCCTTGATCAAATGATGAATATTACTTCAAAATTCTGATGTTAACCAAAAATCTTGAAGTTTGACTGTAAGTTGACCATGGTTGACTTATTATCCAATATAGTTGTCTTTCAATCATCTGAGACGTTGACTGAGCAAGCTTGTGATGTAGGACTTGAAACTTGACATAAACATTGTTGAAGACCTATGGAGAACCATGGAAACCAATTGAGACATTTGCAACCTAAATTTCAGTGAGAAACTCAAAACCCTAGTTGTAGACCCTTTGCTTAGGAGGAGCATTTTGACTGATCAACTCTTGAGTAGCTTTGAGTATTTGAGACCTTTGTGAGCACGTCTTGAAGAAAATGGGAGGGGAAATTTTTGGGTACAACAGAAATTTACCTCACAAAAAGGGTAGGAACTAAAGTGATTCACAAATGAATAAGTATACAAAAGAATAAATGGCATAAAAATTGTAAAAAGTCTAAGTATCATGAATATGCTAAAGTATAGAAAGCGACAAACACATACCTCGAACGTGTACAAAACCTTAACAAAATCATTACCACGCATTCGCAAGTCAAAACAAACAAACTTGACAAATCATCTCAATATCCTCAATCTATTCACAACAAGCTCAAATACAAACACAAATAATATACACATACTAACGATGCCATTTTGCTGATGCGGTAAAGTGACAAGCAAAAAAGTAAGTTATTAATTTACCGGGTGATATTTAGGTTATATCGTATCGTTTCCATAGAGATTGGTTATCGAGTCGTCGTTCGAAAAATCATTCGTTAATGAGTTTGGGGGTTTGAATGGAAAGGTTAAAAGTTATCAACAGAAAATAAATGTAAACAAAAACAAAATAAAAATGAATAACTTATCAAGAGTGCATATATACTACTCTTCATAGACTTAAACCTATCGACCAGTTAAGATCAACCTATAATACTCATCAATGTCACCATGCATCACTCACAACCTAAGTCATTTCTAACCCAAATTGAGAGGCCTATTGTATCACCTCGGTAGCAATCTCTCAACCAACTCAACAATAGAAGTCAATCGTGATAATCACGTCGATAATCTCTCAGAGCGACACAACCAACACAGAGGAATTAATCACAGACACCCAAGTGAATGTCAGCTCTAAATCTATCTCTAGAATCCATAAACTAACAGACTATCATCCTAGATAAGAATTCAAGCAGTATATGTCTATAACAACCCAAATCCCGAACACAGAGCAAAAATCTAGGACAATACTCGACATAGATTTGTAAAGCAAGTTTTATATAACGCCATAGGCGACAAATATACATGAGTTCAAATTAAATATACATACAAATCTAACTAAAAGATAATACAAAAATAATGGAAAACTAATCAACTGGTACATTATGTACACAAAATGCAATTAAACGTATTTACAACTGAAAGTAGGGTTATTCAACCGATATCAACAACAAAGAGTCAATAATTGCAACAAAAAGTATATACAAAAATAACTATAATTTACACTTATCAAGTACCAAACCGCGCCTTCTGTGCTTCTGAGCCGTCCATGACCTGAAAGGTTCTTTCAATCTCTTTAAGCCAAGTCTACGCTTTATCAGGATCGTACCTACCTTTGAAAACAGGCGGGTGGTTCCTCTGAAATGTCTCCAAAACATGGGATTCATCATTCTCTCCAGCATTAGGTTAATGTTGCAACAACCTCCAAAGCAGCAGCAATCGCAACATCGTTCCTTCCAGTCATTTCTCTGTTCCATTTCAATAACAGACACAATGGTTAGAAACTATCTTGACACTATTCCACTGTCATATACTACAAACTCAATAACCTGGCCGGACAGACCGACATGCTATGATACCACTAAGGTAACACCCTTTTAAACCCACATACATTTCGCATATATTTTATAAACTAAATCAAATAAAATCACCAATAATGGTGTCACATCTTCATAAAAACATCATTTAAAACATCCTGCTTTGTAACACGGGTTTTTGAAACATCTAAAACAAATAATTCTTTAATATCATCGAAAAATAAAAAAATTCAGGTTATTGCAGCAGAATCATAGTCTCAAAATATCTTTATTGAAAATACTTCACAGAGTCTTCCTCGCACTTCATCGTTCATGATTCATAAATTAAACAACTAAATACCATGAAAGATAACTCATCATCTCAAAATAAACAAGAAAACATAATAGTTTCACAACAAATGTTCCCAACCTCGATGTTACATATCAAATCAAAACCTTCTAAAATCAACAGAAATAAATGACGCACTCCGAAGCTAATCCTCTAAGCTTCAATGCACTAATCCTGATCACATGCAAGTTACCCACATATAGAGGCAACATTTCCAAGTAGAAATTGTGAGTAATCATAATCATTATAAAAAACATAAGGAATAGATATAATAGTTACAATACAATATCAAAACATCAAACACCATTAAAACTTCATGTTATAATCACACCTCCAGTTCATCATTTATTCATAGCATCATCATATCATCAGTCAATGATCCTCACCAAGACATCATTAGTTCACATGTTCACAAAGCATCACTTAATAAACCATTATGCAGTGCCATAAAGAATGTAATACAACTTCATTATACTCATGTATGTGGTACCAAAACTTCATTGATGACTCAGTCATCGTTTCTCCAAAGATCCCCACCAATAGGATCAATTCCCACTTGAAATCAGAGTACATCATAATACTTCACTCAATCCACACTATGGTATTGAGGTCATCACTGGACTATCATCCTATCATCATCATTGGACCAATTGTCCTAACAAAATCACTAGATTTAAGTCATAAGACATGTCATGAATACATGATGCCAACAACATAATAAACACGACCACGACTAGTAAAAATGCATCATTCATTCATGTAATCATAATAAGGTCATCACATTAATCATATATATATATATATATATATATATATATATATATATATATATATATATATATATATATATATATATATATATATGTGTGTGTGTGTGTGTGTGTGTGTGTGTGTGTGTGTGTGTGTGTGTGTGTGTGTGTGTGTGTACATGGCATCATCACGACATTATCATATCATTATAGTACCAACAACTCATCAAACAACACACGCCACTATAGTCCATCACAGAGAAGTATAACTTTATCATAGAATAAGTACTATAATTCTACATCTTATTACTTATTTTATTCCACCTACTTATATTTCATCGTGTTAGCTACCCAATGCTTCCAATGGCACGTCAAACGAATTCCTGAAACTCAAGTTACGACACTTTCAAAATTCTACATTTGTCCCTCGCATAAGGCTCGCCCAGCAAAGAAAGTTGCTCGCCTGAGGCTCGTCCGGTGAAGACAGGGCGAAATACCTTCCCCCATAAAAATTCCAGGAGCATTTTTTTTCTTTAGCCACCATCGTGTGTTGAAGCATGTAGCTCATCCGGTGAGCTCCCCTCGCTCCCACTCCGCCCGGCGAAGTTGAGGCGAGTCGCTCACTTCCATATAGAATTTTGGGGGCTCTTCCAAACTCAACTTTCTCACGCCTTGCTCTTTCCTGGTGCATCATGGGTGAGTTCATTTTCCTGGCGAAGCTTAAGGCTCGCCCGGCGAGTCTTCGCGAGTAGAAGTTCTTTGTTGCATTTTCCTGAACCAAATCAGTCTCTATTCTACACAAATCCAACACAGTATAGGTTCTAAATCATCATAGCTTCACATAATTTCATCATACATTAACAACACATTCTAATATACATCACATACATCAATTCATGGTAAAACAACATCACAATTTCATCAATTCTCATCAAATCATCATAATACCATCCTCAACCAAAACCCCAACACAAACCTACAATTATCTAAGTCCTAAATCAATTATAATAACACTGATAAACTCCCCTTACCTTATATTCCTAGCAGCAATCTATTCCTCTTTGCATTTTACAGAACCTTTTGAGTTCCTCAGTGCCCTAGCTCTCTTCACAGTGTTCTTCCCACTTTCACGATCACAGAATAAACATTGATACTCACTTTTCCTTGTTTAACCCTTGAACCCTTTCTATGGTCTTTCCATCTTAACCCTACTTACTTCACAATATTACTACATTGTCCTCATAGTCTCTACCTCTTATTATTTTATTTATTTAATTACTAATAATTCTAACTAATTATCTAAAATTATTAAAACACCTAATTTCACTTCACATACATCAAAACATCACATATACTCATAGATACATCATAAATACACACAATATTCATAATTAAATAATTAAATAAATAACTTAATTATTTTGGGGTGTTACAATTAGGCATTCCAATCTCATACAATATGGAATACTTCACACTCAAGTTGACAACTACCTAAATAAACTTTGAAGGCTATCCCTCATGAACATTTATAGTAATTTCTTGAGCTATGATCTTTAAAGAAGAAAGACACGCAGTAGATATCAGTCTTATATGTCCGAGATGCTCATTTATGTTTGTAGGAGAGAAATAAAAACAATGACTTTTAACATGGACCTTTCTATAATATCTAATCTCATATTTATTAAATTCAATAGTAAGACTAATAACAAATTATTTCACCAGCTTTGGATAAAAGGGTCCAACCTTGATCATAGTCTTCAACAGTTGAGCATGACTAAGGAGCTCCATAATTTCATTTTTTTCGTGCATCAAGTGTAGGTTCTCTTTCGGGTTCCAATCCCCTATGATAAATAAACTTCCACTTGGTTATACTTTCCTTAGAATTGAGAGAAACATTATCAAGGAAAATCGAAGGAATGTTCTTCAAAAGCTTCTTCCCTCCAATAAACCTTTTCACAATTTTAACACGCTTTGCAGCCTGCTCACCATTATCCTCATTGTCTTCAATATCCTCCAGGTTGTTAAAGACATGTTTCTCATCATTATACTATGTGATGCTAGGAACAATATTTTTTCTTTTCACGAACTTGTCTTTATCAGAATTGTTCTTCTCCTTTTCAACAATTTTCATTTTCTTCTTCTCGGTATTCTTATTCTTCTTGTCAACCACAACCTTTTTCTTATCAGCAATAGTCTTATTTATTTTATTGTTAGTACCTACTAAATAAGACAACAGGACTTCTTTTTCACACACCTTCTTTGTTTTTCTAACAACAAGAACTTCATCAACAATGTCATCATCCATAACCTGATTGTCATCATTACTAACATCTTCCCTTACAAACTCATCCTCGTTGAGATCTCCAGTGACATCTTTATTGACATTATCATTGACATCTTCATTAACATTTTCACCAACCTCTTTAGGCTCAGAGTGAGTTGGGGCATCATGCATAGGGTTCTCATGACTAGTTTCAGTGGAGGGAAGCTCAACATTCTGAGTAACATTAATCACATTCTCACTAGGAGGATTATTAAATACCTTTATTCTTTTATATAATTTATAAGACTCATCTGAAAAAACATTTCTAACCTATATTTGATTAACTACAACCTGGTTCCTATCAATAGAAACATTAGTCTCACCAACAATGACACTTTATGAGAGTTTACCTTAAACATACTTAGGCTTGGAGATAGAAGAAACACCTCTAGAATAACCATCAAACTTTCCTCTAATCATTATGCCCATCATATGAACTCCATAAGATTTTATAACAACAACGTCTTGTTCATGGCTTTTCTCCTCGATATCTTTTTCATTAACATAAGCGTTCATCCTTTTCTTTTTTCCTATCATGCTTTCAGATTAATTTAAGAACTTTGCAGAGGAAACTGAAGAGTCAATGATTGGTTTGAAGAGTGGAAGCAAAAACTAGAACATGTGGCCTTTTTGAAAATATAAACAAAGTAACTTTTCCTTGTGTGGTTGAAGGATACAAGTAACATCATTACTGATATATGTTTTTTATGGCTCTTTTCTTTCAATAGCACTATCTTCATCATCACCTGAATCTCCATCTTCTTCAGCAAGTTGAACATTCTTTCCTATATTGTCAACAACACCTTGCTAAACATTAGGACTAGTAAGATCGTAATCTTTGTCTTCATGGGGAGTCCCTTCATTTTTATCGTCATTAACAATGACATTTATGGATTTAATCATAGATTTTATGCATTTATTAAACACTCCATACACCATGATGTTGACGAAATATCCTAAATGGATGCCTCTATCACTCTTTGGTTCAAGCTTATGTCTTTGTTCTCTCTCTGCAAGAATATAGAAAATAATCCCAAATAAATGGAAATATTTAAACTTTGTCTTCCACCCCCTTCATAGTTCATAATGAGTAACCGTGTTACTTGGTTGAATTGTTACTCGATCGTGAATATGACAAGTTGTATTCATTTCTTCTGCCTGAAAATAATAAGGAATATGTTTAGCATGGATCATAACTATCTCCATTACTTGTAGGGTACAATTATTCCTTTCAATAATAATATTTTAATTGGCTGATATCGCAGTAGAATACTCAGGATAAATCCCTTCAATGGTGCATAAAGAAGAGAAATTAGAGTTAACAAATTCTCTGCCATGATCGCTTTGAATGCGAATAATCTTGCCAATTTCTTACCTTTTTCACATTTTAAGTGATGGCAAATATCTTCAAAGAAAAGGAAATAAAATACTTCTCATGAATAAACTTAATTCAGGTGTGCCTGGAGTAGTCATCATCACAAACAAAGACATGTCTCTTTCCTCCAAGACTCTCAACATAATGGGTCCCATAAGACCCATATTAAGTAATTCAAGAACAAGAGTAGTGGTAAGATGTTGAAACCTCTTATGTGACATCTTGGTTTGATTTCCAACTTGACAGTAACCACAAATTTTACCTTCTTCAATCTTGAGATCAGGTATGCTAACAATAGCTTTTTCAGTAACAATCTTCCTTGTAATTTTATTATTCATGTGCCATAATTTAGTTTCTTCAACTTTGGATATTAGATAGGATTGAAGCTGATTTATAGGGTGACCATATATAGAAGTTGTCCATAGATCTAGATCCCTTCATTAGTTGAGTATGTTATTTATTTGTAACAATGCATTCTTAGCTATTAAACTTAACACTTAAATCTTGATCACATAGTTGACTGATGTTAATGAGATTAGTATTAAGATCATTAACTAATAACATATCATTAAGATAAGGAATACCAGGATAGTCCAACTTACCCTTTCCAATAATTTTTCCTTTAGCACCATCACCAAAAGTAACATAGTTACTGAAATATGGTTTGATATTCTTTAGATAATTTCTTTCACCATTCACGTGTCTTGAACATCCACTATCAAAGTACTACTCTTCATAAGATGAAAGTTTGAGAGAGGTGCAAATAATATGAACTAGAAGCTTAGGCTTGACACACCTGAGTTGTTAAGGCTACTTGTCATACTTTACATTCTACTAAGGATATAGTTGTTTATGATTCAAATTTTTACCATATAGCGAATAACAGACCAGACGAACGTGACCATGCTGACCACAATTAATGAAAAACACAACAAGGTCTAACAGAGGCATGAGTATGTTGGTAATAATGTGTAGTAGGTTGTCGCATCATCTTACTTGACATCTTAATTTCTATTTTACGGATAGGAGAGATAAACACAGTCTTTGAGTTGGATGATTCACCAGTATATCCAATTCCTTCCATTTCCTTTGAGAGTTTTCCCATGCCTAAAATGGCATCAAGATTCTCATCTCTTGAATTCAGCATGCAGATTTGATCATTCCATCAAGTTCATAATTGAGATGTTCAACTTCCTTATTCAACTCAGAGATAGTGATCATGAGATGAGTTTTGTCTTGAAGTAAGGCTTCAATCTTTTTCTTCTGCTTATTAACAACTTAACATTCTTCAGTCCACTTAAGATATAGAGTCTTAAAAGATTCATAAAAAGCATCTTCAAATATATCATCATCATTGAAATTCCAATTATATTTTGGAAAAGCATTACCACTGAGTAACTAAGAATTGGAAAAAAAAATTTAAACGAGTAGTAAATGCCATAACATTGTTTGCTTGATCAAACTCACTTTCTTTGTATGACTCAACATCCGAAAAGGTGGCATTGTAAGAAAAAAATTGCTTCCTTAGAAAATTTATACATTCATATTGAATGTGTCCAAATCCCATGCATTTAAGACATTGAATTCCCTTGGCCTTATTTTGTTTTTCCCTATGTTTTCCTTGATACTGAAAGTTTCCACCTTTTGGATTCTGTTGTTAATTAGTAGAGGCACTATTCTCTAATCTTCGATCAAGTCTTCTCATGAATTTGCTAAAGTTCTTAGCAGGCAAGGCAATAGATTTAGTTAAATTTTCATCAATGTCATAATCTAATTGGTCTTCATGGTCGATAATATCCACTTTGAACGCGACACTCTTAATATTTTTCATTAATGGTCAAATCAGATGTGAGTAAGGATCCAATTTACTCATCAACTTTCACTATGGAAACATCTTGATCTTCTTCAATGGATGTAACCTTCGAGTCGAACCTCTTAGGTAGATATCTTAAAAAATTTCTTACAAGTTTTTCTTCAAACATCATTTTACTAAGAGTAAAAGAGTTATTAGAAATGTCACGAAGTATGACATTGAATTCATAGATAGTTTTGTCCTCTCGCATCTTAAGTGTAGTGGTAAAAAAATTGAGACCAAGTCATTGATTGACTTGATTCATTACACTAAAGTTGCCACCGCGCTTTATTATTTCCAAGGGAATGGGAAAAAGTGAAACAAAACCCAAAATAAATATGCAATGCAATAAGTAAAACTAAAAGCAATGCGATAAAGAGATCAATGGTACGAGGTTTGTTTTACGCAAAAGGAATGTGTTAGCACCTAATGCATCTGTGGTACTCTGCAAGAACCTCTTGAAATATCTACATTTTTTTCGGTTAAAATTAGTTTGTTTTCTAAATGAGTGTGGTTTAAAGAAATTTTAAAAAATGCAACGACCTAATATCGAAGTTTTGGCTTAAAAGAGTGTAAGTTTGAAAATAAAGTTTTAAAGGTTTTAACTAAATGGAAACAAATAAGATAAACATGCAATAGACGTACAATGACATAAAGTCAACAAGACGATTCTTACCCTTGGATTTATACAAACAGACAATAAGGTATGCAATAGAAGTTAAAATGAACAAAATCGAAAAATATCACAATATTAACCAATCATATGAAAGGAAAATCACAAGGAAACAAGTCCAAATAATAATTAATGGCAAGTAAACAATGAGGATGAAAATTAAAAGGACAAAGAAAATCATGGATAAAAGAAAATAGAAGTGACTAAAATAAAAGTTATCTAAACTAAATTAAAATCATATGGTTATCAAAATAATTCTAAACTAACTAAAAATAATTCTAAAATTATTAAATTAATTCTAAATTAACTAAACCAATTAATAGAGATTAACAAAATTATCTAATACTAAAAAAAACTATATGATTAATTAATTGATTCTTAATAACTAAATTAAAATTCTAAAATTACTACAATAATTCTAAGTCTAAACTAATTATTAAAACCATCTAATTTAAAGACCATATAATTATTTAATCGATTTTAAACTAAAATAAAAAGAGTTAAGAAAATCAATAAAAGACATAAAATTAACAAGTGAATCTCAGATCCCATCGACCCAGATTCTGGAGAGCAGTTTATTTTTCATTCACTATGTTGACAATTTCAAGATCCAAAGCATATTACTTGCTGCTCTATAATTTTTGCATATATCACATTAGTCCACCTGGATATGAGGTATGTAGCTTTATATCTTAGAAACTTTATTAAGGTATTGTTTGATTGATATGTCTGCATTCCTCACCATTATGAATATTTATATTGTTGAATGTTTGTAATTTACCTGATTGCTTATCATTCCGTGCTTTCTTCAACAGCTATTGCAGTCTGTAGTTGTGCTTTTAAAAACTCTACAACACTTTATACATTTTTTTTTCTGTTTTGCAAAATTGTTCTTCAAAGTGCAAGTGTTGAATACTAAAAAAACAACGAACACAAAATTACTTTATTTTTATCGTATTTTTGGTTACCAATTTTTTCTGTAGTATTAAATTTTTTTTCGAAAAGTTATTTTAAAAATTTCTTTTTAAAATAAAACATCTTATATTGTATTTTGAGAAAATCATTTTTAATATTTTTATTATTAAATTATTTTAATAATTTGATTATAAAATTATTATTTTGAAAATTATATTGTATGGCTTTTAATTTATTTAGTTTAATTGGAATGAAGAGAATTATAGGTTCGAAGATGAATATTAAAATGAACAGTCTACCACTGATATTTCATAGATGAGTTAACAACTCCAGTTGAATCCAAAAATTTATTAAACTTATTTTAGATGTTAGTCTATTATGTGCTATGTATCTATTATGATAGGTTTTTATGTTGTTGGTTTTTGAAATGAGAATGTAATCCTCATGTTTGTGGAAATTTTGGCACTCTGATTTTAATATAATTGTGGGGTAGATTTGGGGTGTTACATTAGTGGTATCAGAGCAGGTCGGCCCGTCCGGCCAAAGTTGTTGAGTCTTTAACAATAGAGTATTGTTAATTTTTTTTACCATTGTTTGTGTTCGCGTTGGTAGAAACTCCAACGGGCAACGAGGAGAGAGGTACCAGAGATACGTGTTTCGTCGATAGAACTTCATTAGTTATTATTATTACTGTTGGATGAGTTGAAATAGAATTGCATGTG